AAATACCCTTTTTCCCAAAACCCAAAACTTTTCCCTTTTTCCCTTTTTAAATCTAAACTTATCCCAATTTAAAAACCATTAAATGCGGGGTTTTCCCCCTTGGGAGGGCATCCCCAAGAACCTTTTTTAAATCCCCTTTATTAATACCCAACTTCCCCCTTATACACTTCGATCAGGTCTCCCCCCCATTCTTGTCTAAAAAGTGAATGTAACTTAAGGTCTTCCCAAACTTTCTTCATAGGGGGAAAATTTTTAATGCTATGTAATTTAAATTTTGCAACCCCACGTGAATGTTTTTTTAAAGAATTTATGTCCATTTTGTAATTTCGGGGACCAGAAAAAAAGCTGCCTTTTTCTAGGTGAGGCCTTACTAATGATTTATAAACTGCACAAGACCCCCTGGACTTCTGTTGCTTACACTTTTTGTAAAATCCCGTAATCTATTTGCCTTATTACCGGGTTAGGCATTTTCTGTCTTGGTTTAAAAGGGTTTCTGCTACCATAACCCCCCCCAAATCCCCTTTTTGCAATCTGTTTCCGGGGTTTTTAAAATCCTTTAACTTTTAAGTACTAAAGGGGTTTGGGGACTCCCAAGGGTTTAGAAACCTTTTCATTTATCTACATTGAAATGCATCTGCCCCTTTTCGAAAAAGAATAAGGTTTTTTTAAATCCTCCTGAATTTCCCCTAACTTTTACCCTTTGGGTTTTAAATTTCCCACTATCTTTTGGTCATCGGGGAAATTTTCTCATATTTATAGTAATTCCCCCATCAAGATCATTGATATATTATTTTAAAAAAACAAAGGGGCCCAAGACTGATCCCCGTGGAACCCAAATTTTTACAGATCCCCCCTGGATTTAACCCCCTTTATGGACACCTCTGCTTTTCCGTCAGTGAGCCAGACTCGATCCACAAGAGCACTTTTCCCCCCAAAGCCCTGAGCGCCACTTTCTTTAACAGTCTAAAGGTGCGGGAAATCTAAACGAAAGGGCCCAAATAAAAACTAAAGTAAAAAAATATCAAATTCTTTATTGTGGGAAAAAGCCTTTAAAAAATTTTCTGAAGAAAGTTAATAAATTAGTTAGAAAAAGGGCGGGCCTCTTGTGAACCATGTGAAATCATTAATCAAACTATGCTTTTTCGAGATGGGTTTCTTATAATTCCGCTATAATTGATTAGTAAATTTTCCCACAAAAAAAGGTCAGGGTTTTTGGGGGGGGGTAATTTGACGGTAAAAGGGCTTGTCCCTTGTTTTTAAAAAAAGGAGTTACATTAGCCCCTTCCACTTTTCAAAACACTAAAAAACCCGTTTGAAGAGATAAAATTAAAAAAAATTAGTTAATGGTTCACAGAGTTCTTCTGCATTCCTTAAGAAACCCTTAAAAAAAACCCCAAACAGGGCCCGGGGACCTTTTTTGCTTCAGTCTGTCTTTCTGCTTCACCCAACCCTCTTTACTAGTTTACTGTGATATTAATAATTTATCTTTTTTAGCCCCCTGTAAAAATTTTAAATTAAATGGAATATTTTAGTTTTCTTTTGTGTAAAAACTGAGAGAAAAAAATTAAATTTTAAAATTTAAGCACAATTTTATTCTCATTGTCGTAAGGTGCCCCTATTTTTTTTTTAAGGGGACCTATCTTAAACTCTAACTTTTTTCTATAGACCTGGAAAAAACCCTTTTTGGGGTTTGTTTTAGAATCCCTAGCAACTTTTAATTTTATAGTCCCTTTTAGCTTTTTAATTTCCCCTTTTTTAAAGTCCCCCTTAAAGTCAATATTTCTGATTCATAAGATGACCCTCCCCCTTTTGATTCGCCCATAAAATTTCCCTTTTTTATGCCCTAGTAGATATTTCGCCCATTTTTTCATCCATTTTTTTGGGGCAAATTTTTATTTTATCTTTAAATTTTTTTTATGGGGGTAAACGCTCTTTGAGCAGCATGTTAGTGTTCAAAAACTGTCAAAATTGTAGCTCTTTTTCGTTACCCAAATAACAGATGATAAGTGTTCTCTAAAAACCCATCGTAATCTGCTAAGCGAAAATCCCGGGAATGTTACCCGAGTTAACGTACTATCGTACTTTTCCTTCCCAATTTCTTAAGTAATTGATTTGTGGTCGCTAGCACCCAGTTTTCCCCTGAAATTTTTAAAAATTTTTAAAAAGGGATTCATTGTTTTCCATAACTAAGTCAACAGGTTTTTTCCCCCTTTTAGGTTCTGTCACAAAAAAGCTTTTAAAAAAAAAATCCTGAAAAACTTCTAAGAAGTCGTAATTCTAAAATTTCCCCGTCAAAAATTCCAAAAACATGGGTAAAGTTAAAATCTCCTGAATTTTCTACATTACGTGCCCTTTTGGCCTTGACAATTTCCCCCCATATAGTTTTCCCCTTGGGGCCCCATCCCAATTTGGGGGTGGTATTCACTCCAAAATCAGGGTTTTTTTTGCCCCTCTGAAAAATTTTAAACCAAACAGACTCTGTATGTGGGTTTCTTGACTTAATACCCGTTTTTAAAAGCAACGTTCAAGCGATCTCGGGCATACAATGCCACCCCCCCCCCCCCTCCCAATTCTTTTAATTTTTCCCTTGGGAAAAATTTTTTAAAAACCCCGGGTTTTTCATTTTTGCAGGATGTTCCCCCCTTTTGAATTTAAAAAACTCTCAGTTTAAAGGGAAATACATCAATTTTTACCTAAAACTAGAAAATAATTCAACCCCGTCCTTTATTCCTAGCCTATGGCAATTAGCATAATAAACATTTAAAGGGCCTCCTTTCTTTTTTACCCCTTCCTGTATTTTTATTTTTCTACAAAATAATTTCTGTCCTTAAACACCCCGGTCCCCGGCTTTTTCAATATCTATTCGTTCTTATTATTCTAGTTCCCCTAGAATTATAAAATTACTACCCTGGGACTTCACTGTTTTCCCCGCCAAAACCCATACCCCTAAAAATATTTCCCAGTTTAAAGGGCCTTTAAATGCCCCCCCTCCAATGCAGTTGCCAGGCTCCCAAACCCAAAAACAAGATAAGTGAACCCCATCCCGCTAAATGTCATTTTCCCGCCATAGAAGAGGTCCCAAATTGTCAAAGAATGTTTCCGCATTTTCCTTACCCCGTTTTTTTTTCAGCCCGAATTTTCACCCAAATTTCCCCGGACCCAAACCCTTTATTTCCAACCCCCCCTCCTTGGGAAAATACCACATATGAGGGGTTCCCCCCTTAATTCTAATTTTTTCCTTTTTGCGACCCAAACCTGCTAATCCCGGTCAAAAACCCGCCTAAGCAGGGCAAAATCATTCATTTCTGTAAAAATGCTTCCATTCTATACAATGATACCAAAGGAAAAAATCAAAACAAAATAAAAACCATACAAAAATATGGGGGCAAAGTCGCTGTTTAATCCAAAAACACGGTCAAAATTTTTTTTTTCTCTTTAAAGCAAATGTGTGATGCAGGATTTTTTATACTGGCCCACGGGCCAAATTTGACCCCTTCTTTTCCCTAGTAGGCCTACTACTTTTTCCCCACTTTATTTGAAAACGCTAGAATTTTTTGCGACCAAAACGTCAAAAAACCCCTTGGGGCATAAGCCAACTAGTACTTTCCCAAAACCCCCAAAGGGTTTAAAATCCTGGGAGAGGGGAAACAAAAGGACACTGGGGTCGTCCCACATTACTAAAAACAACAGACATAGGGCCCCTTCCCAAAGGGGGGATAAAGCAGTAGCAAAGAAATAAAGAACTACAAGGGCCGTGTGATAACATCCCCCAAAAAAAAATTCTTTTTAAAGGGGCCCAAGAAGCAAGATTTACTACCATCTAGATACCCCTCAATTATCAGATTGGAGGGAGAGAGTATGGAGGAGGTGAATGTATTCAGATATTTGGGAGTGGACGTGTCAACGGATGGGTCTATGAAAGATGAGGTGAATCATAGAATTGATGAGGGGAAAAGGGTGAGTGGTGCACTTAGGAGTCTGTGGAGACAAAGAACTTTGTCCTTGGAGGCAAAGAGGGGAATGTATGAGAGTATAGTTTTTACCAACGCTCTTATATGGGTGTGAAGCATGGGTGATGAATGTTGCAGCGAGGAGAAGGCTGGAGGCAGTGGAGATGTCATGTCTGAGAGCAATGTGTGGTGTGAATATAATGCAGAGAATTCGTAGTTTGGAAGTTAGGAGGAGGTGCGGGATTACCAAAACTGTTGTCCAGAGGGCTGAGGAAGGGTTGTTGAGGTGGTTCAGACATGTGGAGAGAATGGAGCGAAACAGAATAACTTCAAGAGTGTATCAGTCTGTAGTGGAAGGAAGGCGGGGTAGGGGTCAGCCTAGGAAAGGTTGAAGGGAGGGGGTAAAGGAGGTTTTGTGTGTGAGGGGCTTTGACTTCCAGCAGGCATGCGTGAGCGTGTTTGATAGGAGTGAATGGAGACAAATGGTTTTTTAATACTTGACGTGCTGTTGGAGTGTGAGCAAAGTAACATTTATGAAAGGGTTTAGGGAAACCGGCAGGCCGGACTTGAGTCCTGGAGATGGGAAGTACAGTGCCTGCACTCTGAAGGAGGAGTGTTAATGTTGCAGTTTAAAAACTGTAGTGTAAAGCACCCTTCTGGCAAGACAGTGATGGAGTGAATGATGGTAAAAGTTTTTCTTTTTCGGGCCACCCTGCCTTGGTGGGAATCGGCCAGTGTGATAATAATAAAAAAAAATTTACACTGTATTGTTATTGCCTTATTTATCTTAAGTTTGGCCAAAATGTTCTGCATATATAGTGACTTTTGTCATTCTCCTTTGTTCAAACACTATCATGCTGAAGCAAACATTATTATAACACTGTACACCTGTGATAATGGTGCTGGCACTGTACATGGGTGACAGTGACACTGTACACTTGTAATAATGATGCTGAGACTGCACATGGGTGATAATGGTAGTGATACTGTACACAGGTGATAAAGGTAGTGACACTGTGACGAGGTGATAATGGTGGTAACTGTCCACAGATTGATCATCTTCGTGGGATGAGTAGGAGCGTCAAGAGGCTGGTGGAGGCTGGCCTGGTGTTTGGTGTCCAGCAAGACCAAGATGACCTTTGCTACTCCAGGATAACTTTACAAGATGGTCAACTGTATCTCCATGTTCTCCAGCACCAACCACCACCCACCCACGCCTGCACTATCCAGGTACTTTATTACACTACCACTCTTACTGTACCATCACACTCTCCAGGTACTTTATTACACTACCACTCTTACTGTACCACCACACTCTTTAGGTACTTTATTACACTACCACTCTTACTGTACCACCACACTCTCCAGATACTTTATTACACTACCACTCTTACTGTACCACTACACTCTCCAGGTACTTTATTACACTACCACTCTTACTGTACCACCACACTCTCCAGGCACTTTATTACACTACCACTCTTACTGTACCACCACACTCTCCATGTACTTTATTAACTAACACTTAATGTACCATCACACTCTCCAGATACTTTATTACACTACCACTCTTACTGTACCACTACACTCTCCAGATAATTTATTACACTACCACTCTTACTGTACCATCACACTCTCCAGGTACTTTATTTCACTACCACTCTTACTGAACCACCACACTCTCCAGGTACTTTATTAGAATACCACTCTTACTGTACCACCACACTCTCCAGGTACATTATTACAATACCACTCTTGCTGTACCACCACACTCTCCACACTATTGTACCAGCACCTACCCCACTTAAACCTACACTCTCCACTACTGTACCAGCATGTACCCACCTACACCCACACTCTCCACACTATTGTACCAGCACCTATCTATAACTACACTCTCCACTATGGTACCAGCACCTTCCCACCTACACCCACACTCTCCACACACTACCGTACCAGCATCTACCCACCTACACCTACACTCTCCACTACTGTGGAGTCAGGAATTGCAGGAAGAACTAAAAACCATAAATGAAATTGAAAGAAACCCAAAGTATTTCTTCTCTTATGCCAAATCCAAGTGGAGAACAACATCCAGTATTGGGCCCCTACTTAACCAAGATGGGTTCTACACAGATGACAGCAAGGAAATGAGTGAGCTACTCAAGTCCCAGTATGACGCAATTTTTAGCAAGCCACTAACCCGACTGAGAATCGAAAACCTAAATGAAGTTTTTATGAGAGCGTCACAGAATTTTGTAAACACAAGCCTATCTGACATTATCCTGATGCCAAATGACTTCAAACAGGTGATAAATGACATGCCCATGCACACTGTCCCAGGCCCAGACTCATGGAACTCTGTGTTCATCAAGAACTGCAAGAAGCCCCTATCACATGCTTTTAACCCTTTCAGGGTCCACAGGCCCTCTCAGAGACTTGTTCTTAGGGCCCCCCAAATTGCCAAAAAAAAAAAAAATGCTTATGAAAAGATAGAGAATCTTATCCCGATCATAATGACACCAAAAGTATGAAATTTTATGGAAAATTTAGGGAATTATGATCTCGTGAAGTTAGCTGTCTTGACGATGTTTACACATCGGCGATTTTGCCCACTTTGAGCCCTATTTTCAGCCAATTCCAATGTACTAGTTGACAAAAATCATAACTATTTTGCTAGAACTCCATTTTTTCTATCGAATGAGTACAAGAAACCACCAATTTACCGATTTCAACTATCCAATACAGTGGTCAGAATTTAGCAATTTTGCCAATTTCACACAAATTTCAAAAGATGCCAATTTCCAAATAGGCTCCAGAATAAACAAGAAAAACATTCCTGGCACTAAAATAACATTTCCTTTGTTATTAGTCATGTCCCCAGACCCCTCTTACATTTTTTTACTTTCCACTTTGAATTTTTATTCTCACAAAAAAATATGATTTACTGTTATGCAGACTACTGCATTAGTGTAGAAATGGTATAAATAATATCAGCGCACTTGTGAAAGAATATTAGACTCAAAAGTTGACGTGTATTGGACGCTTAGCATGATTTGTTTACTTTTGAACTTTGGTAAAAATCGAACATTTCTGCTACTTTGAGCACAATTTCAAGGTACTTTTCATAAGAACATAAGAAAGGAGGAACACTGCAGGAGGCCTGCTGGCCCATACTAGGCAGGTCCTTTACAATTCATCCCACAAGCAAAACATTTGCCCAACCCAATTTTCAATGCCACCCAAGAAATAAGCTCTGATGTGAAAGTCCCACTCAAATCCAACCCCTCCCACTCATGTACTTATCCAACCTAGATTTGAAACTACCCAAAGTCCCAGCCTCAATAACCCAACTAGGTAGACTGTTCCACTCATCAACTACCCTATTTCCAAACCAATACTTTCCTATGTCCTTTCTAAATCTAAACTTATCTAATTTAAATCCATTACTGCGGGTTCTCTCTTGGAGAGACATCCTCAAGACCTTATTAATATCCCCTTTATTAATACCTATCTTCACTTATACACTTCGATCAGGTCTCCCCTCATTCTTCGTCTAACAAGTGAATGTAACTTAAGAGTCTTCAATCTTTCTTCATAAGGAAGATTTCTAATGCTATGTATTAATTTAGTCATCCTACGCTGAATGTTTTCTAACGAATTTATGTCCATTTTGTAATACGGAGACCAGAACTGAGCTGCATAATCTAGGTGAGGCCTTACTAATGATGTATAAAGCTGCACTATGACCTCTGGACTTCTGTTGCTTACACTTCTTGATATAAATCCCAGTAATCTATTTGCCTTATTACGTACGCTTAGGCATTGCTGTCTTGGTTTAAGGTTGCTGCTCACCATAACCCCCAAGTCCTTTTCGCAATCTGTATGTCTGAGTTCTACATCATTTAACTTATAAGTACTAGGGTTATGGGCACTCCCAAGGTTCAGAACCTTGCATTTATCTACATTGAACTGCATCTGCCACTTTTCTGACCAAGAATAGAGTTTGTTTAAATCCTCCTGAAGTTCCCTAACATCTACGTTTGAATCAATTATCCTACCTATCTTCGTGTCATCGGCGAATTTGCTCATATCACTAGTAATTCCCTCATCAAGATCATTGATATATATTATAAACAACAACGGGCCCAAGACTGATCCCTGTGGAACGCCACTTGTTACAGATCCCCACTCGGATTTAACCCCATTTATGGACACTCTCTGCTTCCTGTCAGTGAGCCATGACTCGATCCACAAGAGCACTTTTCCCCCAATGCCATGAGCTGCCACTTTCTTTAACAGTCTATGGTGCGGAACTCTATCGAAAGCCTTACTAAAATCTAAGTAAACAATATCAAATTCTTTATTGTGGTCAACAGCCTCAAAAGCTTTACTGAAGAAAGTTAATAAATTAGTTAGACAAGACGGGCCTCTTGTGAATCCATGCTGAGTATCATTAATCAAGCTATGCTTATCGAGATGGCTTCTTATAATCTCAGCTATAATTGACTCTAGTAATTTCCCTACAATTGAGGTCAGGCTTATTGGGCGGTAATTTGACGGTAACGACTTGTCCCTTGTTTTAAAAATAGGAGTTACATTAGCCATCTTCCACATATCAGACACTACACCTGTTTGAAGAGATAAATTAAAAATATTAGTTAATGGTTCACAGAGTTCCATTCTGCATTCCTTAAGAACCGTTGAAAAAACCTCATCAGGACCCGGCGACTTATTTTGCTTCAGTCTGTCTATCTGCTTCACAACCATCTCACTAGTGACTGTGATATTACATAATTTATCTTCTTCTAGCCCACTGTAAAAATTAATTACTGGAATATTGTTAGTGTCTTCCTGTGTAAAAACTGAGAGAAAATAATTATTTAAAATCAAGCACATTTCATTCTCATTGTCAGTAAGGTGCCCATAGTTATCTTTAAGGGGACCTATCTTATCTCTAACTTTTGTTCTATAGACCTGGAAAAAACTTTTTGGGTTAGTTTTAGAATCCCTAGCAACTTTAATTTCATAGTCCCTTTTAGCTTTTCTTATCCCCTTTTTAATGTCCCTCTTAATGTCAATATACTGATTCATAAGATGACCCTCACCTCTTTTGATACGCCTATAAATTCCTTTCTTATGCCCTAGTAGATATTTCAGCCTATTATTCATCCATTTTGGGTCATTTCTATTTGATCTAATTTCTTTATATGGGATAAACGCTCTTTGAGCAGCATGTATAGTGTTCAGAAAACTGTCATATTGATAGCTCTCTTCGTTACCCAGTCAACAGATGATAAGTGTTCTCTAAGCCCATCGTAATCTGCTAAGCGAAAATCTGGGACTGTTACTGAGTTATCGCTACTATCGTACTTCCATTCAATGCTAATGTAATTGATTGTGGTCGCTAGCACCCAGTTCCTCTGAAATTTCTAAATTATTAACAAGGGATTCATTGTTTGCCATAACTAAGTCAAGCAGGTTATTCCCCCTTGTAGGTTCTGTCACAAACTGCTTCAAAAAACAATCCTAAATACTTCTAAGAAGTCGTAGATTCTAAATTCCCAGTCAAAAATTCCAATAAACATGACTAAAGTTAAAGTCTCCTGAATTACTACATTATCGTGCCTTGTGGCCTTACAATTTCCTCCCATAGTAGTTTTCCCTTGGTCCCTATCTAAGTTTGGGGATGGTATATCACTCCTAAAATCATTTTTTTTCATGCCCCTCTGAAAATTCTATCCAAACAGACTCTGTATGTGTTACTTCAGACTTAATACCCGTTTTTTATGCAACAGTTCAAGCGATCTCGGACATACAATGCCCCCCCCAAACCCCCCCTCCCAATACTTCTATCTTCTTGGAACAATTTAAAACCCTGAATAGACATTCTGCAGGCATTTTCCCGATTTTTTAAATTAAACCACATCTCAGTTAAGGCAAATACATCAATTTTACCTACACTAGAAACTAATCTCAACTCGTCCATCTTATTCCTAGCACTATGGCAATTAGCATAATAAACATTGAAAGACCTCCTTTCTCTTTACCCTTCCTGCTCATTTCTATTTTTCTACTAAACCTAATACTGTCCTATCACCCAAGGTCCCTGCTTTTCAATATCTATCTCGTTCTTATTTTTACTAGTTCCCCTAAACTTATAATATTTCTACACTGGGACTTCACTGTTTTCCCCGCCAAAACCCATACCACTAACTATTCCTAGTTTAAAGTCCTAACTGCTCCCTCCAATGCAGTTGCCAGTGCTCCCACCCCACACCTAGATAAGTGAACCCCATCCCTAGCATACATGTCATTTCTGCCATAGAAGAGGTCCCAGTTGTCAATGAATGTTACCGCATTTTCCTTACAGTATTTGTTCAGCCAGCAATTGACACCAATTGCCCTGGACAACCATTCATTTCCAACTCCCCTCCTTGGCAAAATACCACATATGAGAGGGTTCCCACCCTTACTTCTAATTATTTCTATTGCTGACCTATACCTGCTAATCAGGTCAAAACCTGCTAAGCAGTCAAAATCATCTCAGTTTCTGTAATATGCTTCCATTCTATACAATGATACCAGGAAAACTAGAATACAACAATAAATACCATACAAAAATATAGTGCAAAGTCGCTGTTTTAATCCAAAAACACGGTCAAAGTTTTTTTTTTCTCATTATGCACTGTGTGATGCAGGATTTTTTTATACTGTGCACACTGGCCACATAGACCCATTCTTTCATATGTAGGCCTACTAGCTTTCTCTCACTTGATTTGAAAGCGCTAGAATTTATGCGTACTAGAACGTCAAAAACCCTGGTGCATAAGCCATACTAGTACGTCCAAAACCCTGAAAGGGTTAACATCCTGTGGAGAGGGAGCATGGACACTGGGGTCGTCCCACAGTTACTAAAAACAACAGACATAGCCCCATTCCACAAAGGGGGCAGTAAAGCAGTAGCAAAGAACTAAAGAACTACAGACCGATAGTGATAACATCCCATATAAAAATTCTTTGAAAGGGTCCTAAGAAGCAAGATCACTACCTATCTAGATACCCATCAATTACACAACCCAGAGTTTTGAGCAGGTCGCTCCTGTTTGTCCCAACTACTGGATCACTACGACAAAGTC